CTGAAACATCAGGTGCCGGAGCTCGGAAAGCTGCAGTCTGGATAACTTGCCCACCAGACCACCAGGGAGGAGGAGACCACTAGAACACCAGGTAATAGATTACACAGAAAAGGTATTTCAGTGTGGAAAGGCTGGTCACTAAACCACAGCCTCCCCACATACTATGATCCTCCCCCCCGGTGTCATCTTTCCACACTATAACCATCCCTCCTAACGGTCTCCACCTCCCACACAGACTGTCACTCTCCCCCCCCACTGTCACCATCCCCATACACTGTCAGCACCCACATATGCTGTCACCATCCCACACACACACACACTGTTTGTCACCATCCCCTCACACTGTCAACCGCGCACACACGCTGTCACCCTTCCACACACTCACTGTCACCCTCACTTGAGGCAGAGAGATGGCACAGAGAGGCTGGTGGCAGAGAGATTTTATTGGCAGGCACATATGGCTCATTGGCATGATATATATATTAGAATTTACTGCTCTTTGGTATATTATTCAGGATTCATGAATTTACTGCTCATTGACATGATATACCAAGTTTATACATTTACTGCTCATTGGCATGATAAGCAAGGTTCATGCATTTACTTCTTATTGACATAGTATGCCCAATTTTTGTATTTATTGATCATTGCCATGATATACAAGGTTTGTGCATTTACTGCATTAATATCATTCCTTTGCTCCCAGGGTATATATGTGTGACTGCGTCGATGTGTGTGTGTGTGTGTATGTGTGCGTGCAAGACTGAGGGGGTTGGGAGTGGAGTCTTGGACCAGCCCTTTGGTGTTGGAAACATATGGAAAGTCAGAACTGGTTACTAAAATTGTTGAATCCCACTACTGCTACAGAGCATTGTAACAGGTATCGGAGCAAGAAAAGAAAAAAATATATATATAGCTTCACATCTGATAAATTGTGAGTGGAAGCTTGACCTGTTTCCTTGAGAAATTTAACAAATATTATTATGGACTGTAAGTAAAGGAATACTTCAGCTGGAAGTTACCCCAATGTTTTAATGTGTTTTATAGATAGTGCATTGAAAAATATGCCACGAACTATCGTACAAAAAAACCACAAAAATAATTGGGGTGTCATTACGCAGCCCGGAACAAGAGTTACAGGGAGCTAATGTTGATTCTGAGCATATTGGATATCTAACATCAGCAGGCACAGCATGCTGGTGAGAGACGTCCAATGATGGCACGCTCCCCTACATGGAGCCTATGTCCTCCTCTCAGACTATCCTCTATGACACCCACCCGCCTCAAGTAAGGAGCGGAGACCTCAGTGGAGGAGAATATGGCTGCAGGGAGAACTTGGCCTCGGAGCTGAGGTAACCCTTTAATGGCACACTCTAAACACCAAAACTACTTGATC